TAAAAAAAAAAGCAAGAGAGAGAAAAATAAGGATGATTTAAGAAAAGAGAATATGCTTTTATCGTAAAAAGAAAATAAAAATATGCCTTTTTTTGGTAAAAGAAAAGAAAGTATGCCTGGCTAGATGTGGTTAATCAAGTACAAAGACAATAAAAAGTTATTAATTATAGAATTTTTTATTTTGTGATTTAATTTTATAATTTAAATTATATTAAATTATAAAATAAAAATAATTAAACGAAGGATGGTTCCAATACCCTTATCTAATTATCTTGTTGTGTGTAGTAAAAATCAATATGCCACACGGACTAGACCATTGTGTTCCAGATGCAGTCCCATCCTTCTCTGATGCTTAGATGTTTAGTCCATGTCCCGAAATTTTCAAAGGTTTTCCTACAGTCCTTGTCTAACTTGATGGTAATCCCCCACCAATTAGCACAAGCCATCCATAACCACCTAGCTACGTTGCAATTCAAAAACAAGTGATTGATGTCCTCGTCCTCCACCTCACACAATGTGCATTTCCCATCTTCCATGTCCTTGATGACTCCTCTCTTGGACAAATTCAATTTGGTTGGAATTCTATCCATCATTACTTTCCAATTAAACGCAGCAATTTTACTTGGGAGAATAGGATTCCATACCCTCTTGAAGAATTTTGTTTCAACCAATCCCCTTTCATCTTTTGTTAACATCTCGTACGCAATTAAGGTTGAATATAGGCCATCCTTACTATGCCTCCATTCCCATTCATCTGGACATCCTGGGTAGATCTACACCTCCTTTATCATCTTGCAGAGCTCATATGCCTCCTCTTCTTCCCATTGAAATAGGCTTCTTCTCCATGATAGGTTCCATTTCCACGTGTCGTTTTGAGTGCTACCCATTTGGTAGCATTCTTTCTCTTTACCTGTTGACAATAAATACAATCTAGGGAACTTATTAGCAAGGCAGCCCTCCCCGCACCACTCATCCCACCAGAAACTCACCCTTTTCCCCTCTCCTACCTTTATCTTAAATCCCTCCGACAACCATCCTACATTCATCCCGTCCCCCATATTAAGGGCACGAACATCTCTCCACCATATCGAGAGATGAAACTGTAACAAAATGTGAGGAAAGCTTGTGGAGTAATCTAGACAAATTATTAACAAAAAGGTGCTTCCTCACCCATATGAGTGGAATTTCAAATTCTCATTTTCCCTCACACCCCTTTCCTGTAAGGTTTCAACT